TTTTTTACCCGATTCTATGCTTATCAGCCCGGAACGGGATTCCGAGACGCGAATTTCGATGCTCTTTGCTCGTGGGGGGGTACGGATGGCTCGCAGCCGATCGGTTTAATCGTTTGAAACCTGTACAAAACGAAGGCATTCATGGGACGGCAAGTCTCAGACGACGTGGTGCGCAGCTCGGACACCACCGAGGAGGTTCAGGTCGAGACCTCGGACATTTCGAACAAATTCAAATTTTTCGAGTCCTACAAGGAACCGGAAAAGCAACGGAAGCAGTTCCGAATTACCCCTCCGCGCGATGGCCAATTGAAGGTTCGAGCGATTTCTCGAGTGCAGAGAGTGTCGTCGATCGACGAGTGTACTTTAATACTCTAATAACGATCCAACGACGATCTAACAACCATAACTCGGCCGTGCAGTGTGCGTGCGCCTGCGTGTGTCTGCGTGTGTACCTTTTTTCTCGTTCCAACGCTAACCTCCGCTTCTCCGCTAACAGCGTTTGCTCGATGCACATCTGTCGCATGACTCCTCGGCATCTGAATACATACGCAGAATTCTCCGTTGCATGGATGATCCACCACTGCGCTCGCGATATCTCCAAATGTTCAATTTCCTCGTAAATCATCAGCCTCGAGTCTCACGGTGATTCATTTCCCACTTGTTGATACAAAAAACCGGCGATAAGCCTTATCTGAAATATTCGGCTCCGCCTGCGCGGTTTCGAAAGAAATTCCGCTTTCTCGAGCCTATCGATCTTTCGTCGAACGAATAATCGCCTCCGAGTTTACCGTGGTTCCCTAATAAAAGGGACGGCGAAGCTCGTGAAAGCTCCGTGGATCGGAGCCGCGAACAGCGTACAGTGCCACTTGATTCCACGGCTGTCCTTGAACCCCCTCGAGTGGTCAGCAGCCATACTTTTACCGTTAGTATTCCTACATCCTTCCATTCGTGAAGAGAGAGAACAGGCCGGTGCAGAGGCGAGCACACCACCGTGTGGCCCTCCCAGTAACTCACGAAGGGGGAACACAGTAAGAGCCGTGCGTCCTCTTCGTGTGAACGGCATAGCAACCGCCGACACGCTGCCAGTTCGGAGTTTGCCGGGGCCAACGAAACAAAAGGCTCCCTCGTGACGGCTCTGCGCTCTCCTCTCTTCCCTCTCTCGCTCTCTCCGCCGTTCTCTTCGGCTTCCTCGCTCGATTTCCCATTTTTCCCTCGACCGTGCCGCCGTTCGCGTGTGCCGTTGCTGCTGAATTTTTGCCGCTGCTCGTCCTGCCAGCCAAGGCCAACCAAGATAACAGAGTGAGTAGGATAATCGCGTCGCGCGATAAAACGCTCCAATACGTCGGCTTCCATCGCGAACCTTCGTCTCTCGTCTCGCGATTCCAGTCTGTTCAACCCGCTTTTTCCACCGGACCGACATTTTTTCCCGGTCGTGTCGTGGCTCGTCTCTCGGGGGCCCAAGGACGACGCGGATGGAAAAGACCGAGCAGCCAGACACATACGTGGCTGAAATATTCGTCCCAGCCGACCAGACGCTCCTTTTCTCATCGTTTCGCCCGTCTACCAGGTACATCGTGCATCGTGTTCGTCGTCAGTGGCAAGGAAACAGTGACTGGACAGAGAGGTCGAGAAAGTTCTTCGATTTTTGAGAACCGCGTCGGTCGTCGAGCTTTCCAGACGGTAGTGTAGGAGTTGGCGCGGAGAGTCGAGTGCTCGGGGTCTATGATCGACGGCGGTAGCCAAATTACCGGTGTTTCCTGTGACCGATGGCACGAGTATCGAAAAATGTATAATCGGTGTAGAAAATTGCCCGCTTTCTCGGATCCACTTCTTCCCGAGTAACGGTACAGCACTGTCGATATGTACTTGACGTGCAGATGCGTATGCATACGCTTTCCTTTCGACGCGAGGTATCGATCGGTTCGCGGAAAAACTTTCTTTTCTTTCTTTTTTTCTCTTCTTCTGTTCCTCCATTTTTCGAGTTCGCCGTTTTTCTTCGCTCTTTGTCCGAGGAACAGTGGAAAACGCGTGTAAAGAGGAACGCGACGGTTGGAAGCGAGGTGTCACCTTAATTACGACGTGTTATCGCGTGTTCCATTATCGACCGATAAAAATGTTGTTCTTTCATCGTCCCCGTCGTCCTTGTTATCTCACGTGTGGCAATAAACGGCAGACGGAATAAATCAAGTCTAGAGCGACTGTCTGGTCGGAAATAAAAAGCAACGATTAAGGAAGATCCGCGCGGACGACTCGGGCTAATTAGCTTTCTCCGAACATATAAATCCGCGATCATTCCCAAGTGAAACCTACTCCGGTTCGTTTCGTCTCGCGCACGGCCTGCCACGCAGAGAGAATACGCGTGGGTGCGGGTTCCTTTTTCTTCCAAGACGTCATCGTGCCCGCTGGTATTTTCCCCGCGACGTGTCCCGCCAGGTAATATCTCGTGGAACACGTTCCTCCGCAAATCGTGCGCGTCTTAGGGCCGGACGGGGGCCAGGCGATTCTGCATTGTCATCGCGTCTTCGGCTTACCTGCTGCTCAGGTCTCAGGTAGAAATCCAGCCGAGACGTACGCGCATAAAACCACACTCGAGCTGACTCAGAGCCGCCGCGATTCGTGGAAACGAATACCTTTATTCCCTTGATTTCCTGCCTGTGGCCTGTGTCATGTGTTCACGCTTTGACCGTGCCCACTCGAATATCCAGTAACGATCGAGCTGTCGTGCTCGCGTCCACGACTAGTGCACGACCCGATCGCTTTTCTCCGTTAAATCGTGGATCAAAGTTTGAAATCCTTGAAATCCTTGAAATCCGTCCTTGACGTTCTCTATTCATCGGATATTGCTTTCGACAGATGGACTCCCCGGAACGCGAGATCTACCGTGATCCAGACGTAGTGAGGGCCGACGACAGGGTCAACGAAGTGGTGCACACGGACACCGCGAGGAAGATGCTGTCGATCTTCCGGCAAATGGAAGAGAACGCCTGCAAGAAGGAGCTACCAAACGGACCGAAACCATTGAAATGCTTCACACCACCGCCAGAGGACAAGTTCGCGAAAGCAACGGCCTCGGACTCCGAGGAAGACGAGGAGGAGGACGGCGAGGAGTCCGAAGGCGAAGACAGCGCCGAGGAAAGGGACCCCAATTACGTACGAGCTTCCGATAAGGTCCGTGTATGTGTATGCTCGATACGTCTCATTGTTCCTCGCCGCGAAAAATGCCAGCGTTTATTAACATCGAGCCAAGGTGTCGAGACCTCGAGATTCCTGGGTTATGAATATGCATGAGGCTCGCTTGGGAAGATTACCCGTGGGCCGTTTCATCGCGGCGAGGATATGCAGATGAACGTCACCTGTCGCTGCACCGGGGCCCCGGAACAATGCGAAATTACGCGATAGGCTCGTTCCTCTACCATGAGAACCGTGGCCTAACGAATTTCAACACTGAGACTATCGAACTAGTCGAGATGGCTAGATTAGCGGCTGACTCTCTGTCCCTGCGATTATTGCACGACTGCTTTTGGCAAAATTAACCTACACTTTTGCCAGGACAGTAACGTAACTAGAGTATTCCATACTTTCCTTTCTTTCTCTTGCACGTGTATGCATACGAATATCTGATAACGTCATTACCATGTGCGTGCATAAAATATTTAACCCCTTGCGCTCGGAATTATTTGTCAATTTTCTTGCCAATAACTCTGTACTATTATTTGAAGTATTTTCTTTGAAATTTACTTCACGGGACAGTTCTTGCACTGCTACTTATTTTAACCTCTTGCACTCGAGAGGCGACCCTTAGTCACCATTTGTTAGAATGTCGAAGATCGATATTGATCAATAAGTCAAATTTCAGATAATGTAACGATGCGAAAGGTATCAGAAAATCAAATAATTCTACGTGTTAATTATTATACGATTTCTTACTTAGTACTCAAACAAAATATCGTCAGCCCTATAGCAGAAAATCTTTGAACTACTACTCTTCTTTTGACCAAAAATCGTCGCGTGCAAAGGATTAAAAGACTTTGTCTACTGATTATATTAACCCTTTGCACTCGAGAGGTGAGCTTCACCTAACCTGTAAGAATCACCTACCTAACCTAACCTAAGCATTTCATAAAATTTGCAAGATCGTTGTTAATTAATATATCAAATTTAATGTAATGTAACACTGTGCAAAGTATCGAAATCGAATAATTTTACAATTCTATTATTATACAATTCTTTATTTACTGCTCAAAAAAGTATCGTCAGTTTTTTAGTAGAGAATCTTTGATTTTCTACTCTTCTCTAGCCAAAAGATTCTCAAGCACAAAGGGTTAAATATAGTACTCGAATATTGTCGTAATTTATACTTTGAATTTAAATAACTCGAGTAGTCGTTTCTGTTTTCTTGTTCAGTAAATAAAGAATCAGGAAACGTGGATTGTAACTCGACCGAGGAGTGCAAAGGGTTAAAAGCGAATGATGCTCCCAGCACGTGCTTAATTTTCTTTATTTCGCGTAGCGGAACCAATCATTGTTATTTGTACCTGTTGTACCTGTTCCTGTAGAGAGCTGCCTGTACTAATTGTTTTGCATATACGATATTTGTGCTAGATTATCGCTCTCGTCGTAGGACTAGCGTTAGTAGGATGCGTAGAAGAAAGAAGTGATCGTCGAGTCGACGAAGAAGCCATGAATATTGAAGTGAGGCGTGTTTCAGGTCGAGGACGAGTTCCTGAAGCAAGCGCAGAAGGCGGCCCGCGCAAAAACCTTGTGCGCGAAATTCGAACACTGGGAAGAGACGGACGGCAAGACGCCACCGAGCAATCAGCATATCGCGGAGATGGAAATCGCTCAAAGCACCGGCGAACAGCTGAGCATAGAATCTGCGAGCAGTCTGAGAGCCCGTTTCGAGTCCCTCGGCTCGCAAACGACCGAATCGCCGCGCACACCGAAGGTCAAAGTCAATCGATTCGTGGTGAGTACTCTTTCGTAGGAGCTCTCTTCGTTCATCTCCATTCATCCTCCTCCGGAGCGGCTCATTCATCGTGACCGAATGAGAGCTTCGGATTTCTCTTTTTTTCTCACGATTTCTCTCTTTGGTGTATCGAGAATATCGATTTGGTTTCCGATCGCACTGCATATCATAGAAACTAATTTTTATTTTTACCTCTTCTGCGTGTTCTTCGTCGTATTTTTTTTTCTTTTTTACTCCTTTTTTTATCCTTGGGTGTGAAGCGTGGCTCGTTTCTCGCATGGTGTGTCTTGATAATCGTTGTTTAATCCCCTCTGCTGCCCAATTTGTACAGACCCTTGGTATACACGTATTATTTTATTTTTCCCTTTTTTTTTTTTTCTTCTCTCTCTTACAAATGTATGCGTAAACTGTGTGCGTTCTCTATTAAAGCACGATCTACTTGCCCTGCGACCACAGGGACGTAACGCTATTTATATTTAGTTGTACGATATTTTCATTTTGTTTTCTGTCTACGACGAAGTAACTTTGTATGTGTCGTTGTAACGTATACGACTGCACGTTGCGGGAATCCTCGATGATTTCTACGTGGAGGAAGAATATCGTGGAAAAATATCGTCGCGACCACCTGCTCGAGGATTCTGTCAGCGTGCACGAGATATAACACACACGAATTTAAGTTTTCGTTTATCAGTAGCTGTATGAACTAACGCGCGTGTCACTGGCAAAGCATCTTAAAGAGGTAACAGAGACTGGACCTCGACAAGCCGAAAAGCATAATTTCTCTTGCCGAGAATGGTAACGATACTCTAAGTTGCGCACAGCATGACTAGTTAGCGTGATTCCTGTGACGTGTGCCGATTGTCTCGTATTTTGGTCTTGAGATTGCCGCCTGCAAAGTGTTGGCCAGCTTTTCCGTTCGCTATCGACTACGATCTAGTGATACTATTCTCTGTTAAACGCGAACAGTAAAATGGCACCGGAAGTGGAGGATCGGTACGGCCCAGGAAGAAGGACCGGAGGGACTGACGAAGAGGAGCGAATAGAATTAGAAGATACACGAACAAGCATACACACACACACACACAGTCACACGCATACACACACAATGAGGATCACGAATTCGTTGGAATGTTGCGCTTCGGAGGAACGACTGTCGACAGCTTCGTTGTCCGGGTCATTGTGCGGTTTTTACGTTTTTTAGAAGTCTTTTTCTAACAAGCGTTCTGTTAGTGAATCTAGCGTAGATTGTATTATATCGTACCGTATTATCGCGAGGGGCAACGAACGGGAGATATCGGATACGTCGAGCACCATGTGCAGCCGAAAACCACGGTAGGCCCGGCGTGCAAATTAAGCGGATCAATCGATGGAATTGAAACTCGTGATAGTTTAAGCGTTCCGCGGTTACCTCTGCACTCTCGCAGCCCGACGATCGTGTGCTCGACGTGTCCACGAGGTAGAAGATATTTAACGATCGTTCGAACGCTCTCGCTGAATCATTTCCCCGCCGCTTGAACGTGTTGTCGTTGTCACTCGTCACTTTGCTGCCAAGTGCGATTTTTCGAGTCAACCTTTTACACGAGAACATTTGTAATACTTTTCGACGGATATACGAAAGTTTGTGCGACGAAGAACGTGCGGCTGACGATGTTCTTTGCGACGCAGGTAGCCCGAGGAGCACCGAGACATTTATTTCGTCCCGCGTGCCAAACCACGTGTTCCAATCGCATCGTTAGATTACATCGTTGTTATAGATAATTCGTATTACCATGGTGTTGCTTTCACGACCGAGAAAGGCTGCCAAATTCGTTTGAGCGCTACTCATGTATCTCCTCTTCTCTGTCTGCCCGCGTCGCTCGGACCCTCGTCTTTTAGCCGACATTCTCCTTTTTTGCGAGTGCCAAGCGAAGATCAGAGGCGATATGGTAACACGGTTGAGGATCTTAGGACAGTGGATCTTGGAGATTCGCAGAGAGATCACCTTCCGTGGCATTTTGGGAGACACGTCTGGCGTCCCGGCGCGCGTGTACTGTATCAGTGCGACGCATGTGTAAATCTTCGACGAAACGAGAAACCCAATTTGCAAACGGAAGTCTCGAAGTCAGCGCGAACACCTGCGAAGGAAGAAATTAGAATCACATGGTACGATCGTGAACTCCAAGGTCTAAACTAGACGTAGACAAGGTCTACGAACTTTTCGAACGCTTTACAGAGTTTCGAGCCTTTTTACAACGCGTCACGTGGAAGACTGCCGTCGCTTCCTACCGGTAGAGACATTTAGAGAGCGAAAGGGAGCAGGAGAGGAAATGCTCGTTGAACGATCACCGATCGACCACCCCTCGTTGTCTGGAACTCGACGGATCTCCTCACCGATTCGTCCCGAAAATCGCAATATCATTTTTACGAAGATAAATCCTACCTTATATATACATTTATACGAATTTATACGACAAAAGTTTAGTACAATCAGCTGCCTGATAATCGAACACAATGGTTCGCGACACTGTGAAGTTCCAGATATCAAGTTCCAAAATCGGTGACGGGGCTTCAGGAAGATCTTCCAGACCAAGCGACGGGGCCTGGCAATCCAAAATGTCGCTAATCGAGCTCCTTGTCGTATAATCCAGCCAGTGAATTGAACGTACGAGAAAACCTTCGTTCCTTGTGTAGGGTGTAAACCGACCACGACCTCGAGTCCCAAACGAACGCTATCGAATAGGCTTTTTATATAATTTTTATAATGTTCGGTGGATGGACGATACGAGGGAGCTTAGCCGTTAGAGTTAGGGTCCTCCGCACTGGCATTACACGATAAAGAGAATGAAAGAAAGAAAGAAAAGAAGGGAGGGCAGGTATTAATTCCTTCACCATTGCCAACGCGGACGCACAGTACCCATTCATATACGTATACATATAAATATATATATATATATATGTTTATCATAGAAGACCGACGTGTATCGAACCCCCCATTGATCTATTTAGACGTGCGCACACCCCAGTCAGGAGGAGAAAGGGAACAGCCCCTGAAATTGATTTCGATCGCGTTGGAAACGTTGGACGTTGGCATACGGCGAGCTTAATTCGTCGAGGTTCGAAACCCAATGGGATTCTGGTTGAAATTGTGCTTTTGAATCGATAATAGACTCGCGAGGAATGGTGTCGGAATAGGGATTATTGAATTTCTGATTCTTCCTTTAATATGTACGAACGCCATAGGAATTGCAACGAGAGAGAAAGAGAGAGAGAAAATGAAATCGCGAGAGAGAGAGAAAGAGAGAGAGAGAGAGAGAGAGAGAGAGAGAGTGTGCGTATGCGTGCGAGATAGAGAGAGAAATAGGGAAACGTGAGTTGACAGTGAAACCGAATCGAGGTACAATTTCAGGGTTCTTTCGAGACCTCTTGTTTTCCGAGTCAGTTGGACAAGGGTTTAGGGAGGTGCAAGGTTTTAGAGGCATTAGTAATTTTTTTAATCAAAAAACTTAAGTATTATATATAGAGAAGACAAGATCGAAAAGGTATATATATATTCTGTACACGACTCGGTATCTCCTTTACTTCGTTCGTAAAATCGATCAGCAGGAGCTTCTGGATTCTCGGCGAATTTTAATTGTGCAATAAGTTGAACGCTCGCCGAGAGGCGATTTTAAACGGTACGAAACACGCGATTGTTTGTTGTTAATCGGCGAGAGAGATATTTATGTCTGCGAGCAATTAGCTAATCGATCGATCGCTTGATTTCACGGCCTACTTATGCGATGATTTCACGTAGACTTTCGTTGCGTCTTGGATTGTATAATTTTTAGCGAACGTATAATATTCTTGTTCTTTACCTTTTACCTTTCACGTGTAACAATTTATTACGATCATATTACAAACGATAAATAAAAGGGCACATCCTGACGAAAATACGAACGGTGTGAATTGTGTGACAGGGACTGGAACGTGAAGCATCCCCCCGGGGAGGGAGCATATATGGGCTCGATATGCATATATCCCCCCCCCCCCCCCATTTCAGTTTCATCTATCGACCGCAATTATTGGCCTTTGGAACCCCTTCGAAGATCTCTTTCGGAAAACATAACGATCACGTTGCACACATTCATCTCTTTTCCTCATCAACCCATCACCTTTCATCCGGCACTTTTTTGTTCACCACTTATTTTGCTTTCTTCCAATCTAAAATCGACGCAGGAGATTCAAGCGAGCTGTACGGACGTGTGCGAGAGCTGCGAAAAGAAAGTGTACCCCCTAGAAAAGGTGGAGACAAATAACAAAATATTTCACAAACAGTGCTTCCGGTGTCTGCAGTGCAATTGCGTGCTAAGGTAACGTTGCAATCTTCGCTGAAACTTAAACTCTCTGTCTATTTCTTTCTCTCTCTCTCTTCCTTGTTACGAGTCTTCCTTCCTTCTTTTTCTCTTTTCCTCTTCTTCAGCACCGAGTGATTATGTGAACTGTAAGCGAAACGAGGATATAAACGATCATTTCTTTCCCAAACAGGATGGACACGTTCACCTTAAATAATGGTAAACTCTACTGCATCCCGCACTTCAAACAGCTGTTCATCACGCGAGGAAACTACGACGAAGGTTTCGGCGTGGATCCGCACAAGAACAAGTGGACGACCAGCTCGAGCAATCCGACGAGTCCGTCGCCGATCGCGGTGTCGAACGGCGATCTCTGATTTCTCGCGGATTTCGCCTGTTGTAATTAGAAGACGAAGAAAAGGAAGGAAGCAAAAGCCTCAGCCGGCTGTAAAACTGTTGACGAGCGAACGAAGCCAGATCCGAATTGGTCGGGCAGCAGAGAAAAGATCCATGGATACTCTAATTTTCCAAAGACGACTGCCGGATCGCTTGCGAATCGATCGATAGATCGCAAATCGTTTCAGCCTCCTCTCGACTCCCGTGACTGATCGCGCGCTGATCGAGTTATTAATCGACAAGACTCGCGACGAGGATTTAAACGTCCCTCGTCCTCCCTATTCCTTGCTATCATTTTAAGTATTTTATTTTTTAGACCTCTAGATCCCTATTTGCCAATGCCCTATTATAAATTCCGCTTAAATATTTGTTACATTTATTATAAAATTATTATTATTATTATTAATATTATTATTTTTTACTTGTATAACTCTCTTGGTATTATTTTATTATATGTGTTGTATAATACAGAATTTCATTGCGCTTTATAAATCACGTGTCATGTATTCAATTCACCTTTTCAGGCGGGTTTTTCAAATTGTTTTCTTATATAGAGCTTTTTATTACTTTCGTCCCTTTTGTCTTTTTAATACACATTTTTTGCTGTTGTACTTTCTCAGAATTTGTTTTATGTCTTTCTTAACAGCGGTGTATTTCCCCTTAATTATCCTTGTTTATTGCAACTTGTTTTCTAACTTATCTTTTATGATACTTTTAAGGAAGGTTTCTTCCGTTTTAACAACGCATTGACAAATATATTTTGTAAACCACGTTTTGTATGGTATTATTGAAGTAGTTTGAAGTTGAAAATTTAGGAAGGACTTTGGGATATTAAGTCAATATCGTACGAAACATTGATAGAGGAAAGAAAGTTTCATAAAAGTACTGCCTGAGCAATTAATAAAACGCTTTGGAATGTTTTCTTTTGTACTGAAGAAAATGGCGGATTACATCGCTGATAAACAAATTTGAGAAATTATTTTCGAAGTAAAAATATAGTTTTCTTTCAAAGATTCGAAACCTGAAACCTCAGAGACTAGCAATCAGACACTCTAATCACTTATTTAATAAGACCCTTGTACGTGCTTTTCTTTGTACATGTATTTAACCACGTTAAAATCATACATTATACGAAATATATTTACGTTAAAGTAATGATTTATTCAACTGCTTCATGAAAAATTCAAATTGTTAATGATTTTACATTATAATTACTTTTAAAGCGATAATTACATCACTTTTACTACGAAATATTATCAATTATTTTAATCTTTATACTCAGAGCTTTTTTTAAAAATAGTAGGCTACTTTATTAACTATATACATGTACGTCATCGCGAAAATTCAGAAAATTAATAATTTTCAATATTGTAAATATAATTAAAATAAGAATTATGTCAGTTTTACCCAGCAAATATTATAAATTATTTTATTCCTTATATTTCTTAATTTCTACTGTCGAAATAATTTAGCGATCGTATGAATCCTTGCCAAATTTATAATTTTCTCTGTTTAATCATCTTTTTGACTAACAAGCAGAGTGCAAGTCCTTCGGGTCATCGATTTAGTTGGGACTTTGCAGGTTTGTAGATTTTGTCATGCAGTTCATTATAATCGCAACTACTCAATAGTTTTTGAGATATTTACGATTAAAGTTTTATTACATTTTTAACTACAGATTTATTTCCAACAGTTTTCAAGTGGAGTTGTGGCCTAACGGCGACATTCGAGAATTCGAATTCCCGTCCATAGTTGGTAGTTTTTTCTAAATCTATTTTTTATTTTGTATTCATTTTTCGCCTATGAAAACATTGTAAATAAACAATTGTAACTAAGATTTCTTAATAAAAAAAATTTATTTTTTACGCTTTCTTATGCTAGTATATATTTATTACAAAATAATAAGAATACTATGCAAGAAAAATAGTTTTCTATAGCAATCTTATTTATTACAGAAAGAACACGACAATATAAATAATTATTAGATGCAGGAAATACAAAACCTATCGCTCATGTAAGTATTAATTATTAAATTAAACATTGTATAAAAAATCACGTGTCATGTATTCAATTCACCTTTTCAGGCGGGTTTTTCAAATTGTTTTCTTATATAGAGCTTTTTATTACTTTCGTCCCTTTTGTCTTTTTAATACACATTTTTTGCTGTTGTACTTTCTCAGAATTTGTTTTATGTCTTTCTTAACAGCGGTGTATTTCCCCTTAATTATCCTTGTTTATTGCAACTTGTTTTCTAACTTATCTTTTATGATACTTTTAAGGAAGGTTTCTTCCGTTTTAACAACGCATTGACAAATATATTTTGTAAACCACGTTTTGTATGGTATTATTGAAGTAGTTTGAAGTTGAAAATTTAGGAAGGACTTTGGGATATTAAGTCAATATCGTACGAAACATTGATAGAGGAAAGAAAGTTTCATAAAAGTACTGCCTGAGCAATTAATAAAACGCTTTGGAATGTTTTCTTTTGTACTGAAGAAAATGGCGGATTACATCGCTGATAAACAAATTTGAGAAATTATTTTCGAAGTAAAAATATAGTTTTCTTTCAAAGATTCGAAACCTGAAACCTCAGAGACTAGCAATCAGACACTCTAATCACTTATTTAATAAGACCCTTGTACGTGCTTTTCTTTGTACATGTATTTAACCACGTTAAAATCATACATTATACGAAATATATTTACGTTAAAGTAATGATTTATTCAACTGCTTCATGAAAAATTCAAATTGTTAATGATTTTACATTATAATTACTTTTAAAGCGATAATTACATCACTTTTACTACGAAATATTATCAATTATTTTAATCTTTATACTCAGAGCTTTTTTTAAAAATAGTAGGCTACTTTATTAACTATATACATGTACGTCATCGCGAAAATTCAGAAAATTAATAATTTTCAATATTGTAAATATAATTAAAATAAGAATTATGTCAGTTTTACCCAGCAAATATTATAAATTATTTTATTCCTTATATTTCTTAATTTCTACTGTCGAAATAATTTAGCGATCGTATGAATCCTTGCCAAATTTATAATTTTCTCTGTTTAATCATCTTTTTGACTAACAAGCAGAGTGCAAGTCCTTCGGGTCATCGATTTAGTTGGGACTTTGCAGGTTTGTAGATTTTGTCATGCAGTTCATTATAATCGCAACTACTCAATAGTTTTTGAGATATTTACGATTAAAGTTTTATTACATTTTTAACTACAGATTTATTTCCAACAGTTTTCAAGTGGAGTTGTGGCCTAACGGCGACATTCGAGAATTCGAATTCCCGTCCATAGTTGGTAGTTTTTTCTAAATCTATTTTTTATTTTGTATTCATTTTTCGCCTATGAAAACATTGTAAATAAACAATTGTAACTAAGATTTCTTAATAAAAAAAATTTATTTTTTACGCTTTCTTATGCTAGTATATATTTATTACAAAATAATAAGAATACTATGCAAGAAAAATAGTTTTCTATAGCAATCTTATTTATTACAGAAAGAACACGACAATATAAATAATTATTAGATGCAGGAAATACAAAACCTATCGCTCATGTAAGTATTAATTATTAAATTAAACATTGTATAAGAATGTTGCCTATAATTCCAGCTCGGAAAACTATTGGAAGTAAATCAATAGTTAAAAATGTGATAAAACTTTAATCATAAATATTTCAAAAACTACGTAGTAGTTGCAGCTATAATGATATATTTTCTTGAACTGCATGACGAAATCTACAAACCAGCAAAGTTTCAACTAAATCGATGATCCGAAGGACTTGCACTCTCCTCGTAAGTTCTGTTATCTTTCGTGGATATCACTAATAATTCGATGTATCTCAACAGATGGCGAAATAATCGAGCCTATGACACATCACTTCTGTCCATGTTTGTTTATTATTCGCATCTTTGTACTTCTTTTCGTTCATTTTCATTTATAAAGTATTGTGTTGTTTCATAATATAATCGGAAAAGTCTGATCCCAATAACTACCTCGTGTAACAGTATTTATAACAGTATTCATCGTGAAAAGATTCTATCGCGTTAATAACCCTTTTCGTAGTATCGCTTTTTGTCTCGTATTCCTAGGTACAAATATCTAGTGACTTTCTTCACCCCACTCTCCAGCGGGAAATTGACAGCACTTTCAAACAGACAGTAAGCATTTAATAATATTACACTGTTCAACGCGAAAATTTTTTTCCAATATCCATTAAATGATCCTTGTATTGTTTCTTAACCTAACTACGTATTTACAAGTCGAACATTTTTCATTGTTCCAAGTTTAACAAGAATAAAGTATTGCGTGAAAATTATAATTATTATTATGGATATTAGATGATAATAGAGGGGTCGAATACGCATAGCTATGGCACTGTCGAGCCAGACCAGGCAAACAATGGCCGCATGGCGGCAAAATACCAAACACGTGTTCATGATAGACATTTTCTCGATCTGTGAAGAATAAAAACCACTTCGACACTTTAAATAGTTGGATTTTCCATTAAAAATGTATACAAAATCGAATACCGTATAGAAAATTTGTGATAAACAAACACTTTGTAAAAATTATATAGTATTTAAAAACTATAACTACATCGATACTTTTTTGAACTTCGAACGCTGTTGTAACTATTTAAAACTATAAAATATTATAACTATAATCACTGCTACATTCAAGAATCCCTCCTCTATCTTCTAAGTCAAATAACACTATCTATCGTTTTTAATTATTACGTAATATTTCATTTTTCGAACATTTCTACGAAAATTGGAATTTTCAGAATACCAAGGATGATGCTATTATAACATTTAAGAAGAGAAACTCTACAAGTATCGCCCAGTAGGTATTGCAAAATTGAGAAATAAAATACACATCTGTTGGACAGTGTTACATATTTAAATCACTGTTTCTATATATTCTTGTGCAATACACTCGACATTTTAGATGGAGATCTGCATCGACTCCCTAGAATCAGCAAGAAACGCTATCGAGGGTGGTGCAACGAGGCTTGAAATTTGTTCTCTCCTCTCCGAGGGTGGTTTAACACCCACTGCTGGATTTTTAAACAAAATTAAAAGCTTCTCGTCTATCCCGCTCTTCGCTATGCTTCGAGTACGTCCTGGAAACTTCGTGTACACGAGGGAAGAGATGGAAGTCATGCTACAAGATTTAAAAGTATTAAAAGATTACGGTGCTGATGGCTTCGTCTTTGGTGCATTGACGACAGACGACGAAATTGACGTGGAATTTTGTAAAGACATTCTTTCTGCTGCTCGACCATTGCCAGTAACCTTTCACCGCGCTTTCGACCAGGTCAACGACCCCGTAAAGTCTCTACAAATTTTAATAAATCTTGGTTTTGAGAGAATTCTCACTTCCGGCCAAAGAGATACCGCAGATGAAGGATTGGAATTGATACAGACGCTCATTCAAGAGGCTCAGGACAAAATCATAGTGATGCCAGGTTCTGGTATCACTAAAGAGAATATTTCGAAAATAAAGAGGGAGACTGGAGCAAAAGAGTTCCACGCGTCAGCTAAGAAAAAGCTAATGACTGCATATGGTACGAAAAAAGTCGAAATTGGTGACAGTAAACCAATTATTGGGATAAATTCTACGTACATCATGGTGACTGACAGAGATTTGGTACAAGAAATGGTTCAAATCGTGTTAAATAACGCACAATGATCATAGTGATAAGATACTCGCTCTTAAATTGGAGAATTTCCTTGGACTCGCGAACCTGTTTCTTTAATAACAGGTTTAAGAATTCTTGACAAAAAAACAGCGATAAGTAACGGACTATAATGTCCGATTATTCATTGGTCGGTGCTAAATGATCATTTGACATTCTACTTTTTCTGACTAGCAGCTATTTAAAATCTTTTCTCTTTCTCATTTTTTATCGAAGGAATGGTTCTCGATAAAAATAGGAGAAGTATTATCATGATTGGAAATAAAATTCAACGTTAACTGTGTCTCTTCGATAGTTCATAGATCGTACCATGTTTGGAACAAGTTTGATATTAAGATTTGTGCAGTCATTTACTGATATTCTTATGCAAAGAAACTTGCTGCAGAAAAAGAGAGAAAAAGTAGCTACAAAAAATGTACAAAAAGACACGGCACGAGTCTAATGACGCAAAATGCAGATAAATACTTTAATTTTATTTTTGTTTTTAACAGAAAACTACGATTAGAAGCGAACTACGATTAGTCTATTATAAGAAGCTGCAAACATAAACTGTGATTACTGATAATCACAATTTTGATAAACATACAATTTTTCAGCTGTATTCTATGTCATACTAATGTGAATCAGAATGCAAATGTATTCTTCTGCACAATAAGTTCAGCAGATATCATTATCATTCGTGTTCAAATTGTAATGACTTCACAGTACAGATATACGTAAATGGAATCAATGCTACGTGTTGGAAATTATGCATGAGAAAAGATTGCCTGTACTTTGTCACGGAGAATAGAGAACAATCATAGATGATTCACAACCAATGAAATTATCTCGAGGCCCTTCTTTATGCAAGCAGGGCAAACAGAAAGTTGGCCCGTGGAGATTCTTATCTTGGAATGTACATTTCAACACCTCTGTCGAAGTTAATTAATCATTACCTTAACGTTACCTTAGCTTTGTACTTAGAATCATTAAACCAATCGTTACCAGTGTATCATTAAACATTTTAAAAACGATCCAGAAATATTTCAATTTTAATTCCTATATATACCAATCACGAGAAGTTAAGAAATTAGGAAATGACCAGTTACACAGCATCGTGGCGACAGGTTTTCACAGATCACTTAATAAACATAGGTGTTGCAAGCAGCTGCAATAATTTCGTGGTGAATATCTTTGCGACCAATTTGGAATTGCAAAGGTTTGCGCAACAGGTCAGTGCATAAGGGGCCCTTGCATGCGGAAGATGACGGCACTGGCGATCAACTGCAGGCCGCGCACTTTCGATTTGCGACACACGGCCACACCATGAAGAAAAGTGCGTACACGCAACACGTGTGCGCGCGCGCGCGCGCCAGCTCGGCAACCTGTGGAATCGAAAGCTACTTAGGACCTGTAGGTAATACACGGTGGAGAAGCAAATCTCGCACGAGGCGAACACACACAAACTGAGAATCACTGTGTGCGTTCGAAACGCATGTATGATTTCGTGGCGCAATCCACAAGAATAGCTCGATTGTGTGCGTGCGCGCGTGCGCATTGGCGTCGGTGAATGGGAATTTGAAAATAGCCTCGAAAGGTTGCGGTGATCAACGAGGGAGAAACAGGTGTTTCAAAACCTAACGTTAATATGCAGTTTCGTAAGAAATTCTGTTTTCGTATGTAGCCTTCAACCATTCTTTAAACTTTGTCGATACAGCAGGAAACGTGATTAATCATTAACCGACCAATCTGTCAATGTTACAAAGTTCTTTGAGAATTATGAACGAAGTTCAACACTCACCGAAAGTCAAATGGCGCGTGATAATAATTCAGTCAGTTGGTCGGCCGATAAAATCATCTCGGGAATTGTTCAATTATCCGCACTGTCACCTGTAATCTGAAAGTCCTATGTAAATCAATCACTGGACAATACGCAATCGATCGTTCGAAGTCGGTCGACTGGTTTCTTACCTACGGAAGGGATAAGGAAAAACACGATCATTGGAATCTGGCACGATGAATCGAGGGGGTCAGTTTTTCTAACAGTGCTGCCAACTGTGTTGGCGCCCATGACTTCGAGTTGACCGGTGGAGAGTGTACTTACCACCAAGTGGCGCGCGCGCGCATATGCACATACCCCTGTAAGGTGCGTCGGCTTAAAGTGTGTGTTGGTGCGTAGGCATTCGACTGCCGGTGTCTGCGCGTTATTGCTCAACTGGACTCGTCTCTCAGTGCGAGAAAGACGTTCAAACGGTTCGGGCGTCCTCATCCGTGCACTCCGGCCTCGTCCTTCCTTATCCATGTACGGCTACAGTGCACGATTCATCATTCCGTTTTGATTCCCTTTGTTTCATCTCGCGGTGATCTGTCCGTTCCCCTTGCGTAACCTATAAAGACAGAGGAACATTCGAACGCGGTCCGAGACACATATTCGTCACTGGTTTTTGTACAGATGCAAGGTTATTTTTAATCATTCTATGTGCGAGAGTGTATGTAATGTACTGAGAAAAATTCTTCATATTTACGTGCAAAATCTTCCCATTTGACGCATGTTGTGCGCAGACATGTTGAAGAGTAGAAACATTGTTGTATCATACATGTGCTATCAAGAATTTGCGAAGATCTTTCTCTGAAATACACGTACAATTATATTATTCGACATACGTCGAGATAAGTGCTTTTATAATCCCCTGTTGAAGTATAAGCTGACGTGAAGACGCCGATATCGTTGAGGTAACTTAACCATTGTTTTAAAATTAATATATCTCGCAATTGCACGTAACGTTTTTCTGCAGAAATCGCGCGAGAAATCGATGTCATCTTTCCAAGATTTCGACTATTTGTAAGCATAAATACGCGTGCGTAATAATGTTGACTGTACTTCGATCGCCACTTTTGGCAAGGCGTAGAACGTATCTAGTACTTCCTCTTTAATATGAGAAAAAGCCGGTAGGTGCAATGTATCACAGATTTCACGCATGTTTCGACGTACATGTATGGTTGGTCTTATGAAATCAAAGAAGTGACAAGTGAAGTCGAGGAAGTGTAACGAGGAAGCAATGGAGAAGTCGTACGGGTATTAAATTCACAAGGAATTGCACGAGCAATCTTGTTATCCGCGTGTATATATCTAACAGTTCGTAACGTTATAGAAATTTTCTAAACTTTCATAATATTTTACCAAATTATCACTGGTTGACCTACTTTCGTTCGAAACCATCAAATGAAAGTATACATTCTCTTAAAAATTATACTGTTCCAAATAAAAACATATCCAGCGATACACCCCCGATATGTTTAACGCGATGTATCACGCTGCACACGTTCTTTCATACCGACTGATGGAAAACAAATTGATCATTATCATTTGAAAAGCTAATACAATACTATGTCGAAGTTCATTTGATATTCGCGATATAAAATTTCACCAACATTCTTCAAAACCATGAATATCATTCGTCGAAAGATTTATGAAACTCTCACGGCACTAACAATTTTCAGATGACCTAGAAACATAATTTCCAAGACTGTTATGGAAGGCTCTTAATCCCAACGATGTAAAACGACGCATACTTTCGATTTTTCGAATACGACATGAGCAACGTGAATCCTGCTTGAATAATCCGTATTACGTGTTCGGCACGAGAGACGCATTTCTATCGCGCATTTTCGTCCGTTTGTGTCATTTGACCACGTGGTACGAGCGAATCGAGAGAGCAGATAGCAGATTCCTCGAATCCGTTCACGACGTCTAACGGTACTCCCATTTCTTCTTTTCGATTAGTCGACGATCGCTCCTACCGACGGAGAACGAAATCTCGACTTTTACCAGTTTTATGTAAGACAGAACAGAAGGGAATTTGTCGAACGATACGGAATAGTAATTAAAGCTCGTCGTGTAACGCACGTGCAACACTTTCACATAACATCGACGCGTAAACTGCGTAAAATCGCTGCATCAACGGTTCACGCATAATTCGAGCGACACCTCTCTCCTGATTTTAGTAGTTTAAATACTGACATCTCGTGGCTCGCGGCAAAGACTATATTTTACACTATTTGGTGAAAAACGTAAACTTCCAAGATGGCCGATCGATGTTATTTGCACTACCGGATGCTTTTATAATTTTAAAGTAACAATTATAAATTATTAATCATTAGGTAGAACATTAAGGTAACGAGTTTGTTGACTTTATGTTGCTTTATTTGAACTCTTACTGTTCAACATTACTGCTCTTTGTCCCGTAGAACCTGCCAACCTGACTCGGTAACCAATTACCTGCTTTGTATGGCAAGCACGCGTCATTGTGCGGAAAGGACCAGGTTCGACGTCGGCGTTTGTGATTTAAAAAGAATCGGACAAATTTATTATACAGGAAGTCACATTATTTCAAGAATTCGTCTTCCGATAACGTGTTCATCGTATAAAACCCTCGTAATTATTCGTATTCCTTATTTCATCGTAATGCACGATTATTGAATCGTGCTTTATTAACTAATAACATTAACATCGCGCTGGCAGGATGTTATATTCTAACAACAGCGAATACAATTAGTCTCCTAATTTATGGACTATTTCGATGTGCGAATATTCTTCACGTTCCTTTTTAAATTGTCCAATTAAGCTCTTTCTTTTAGCTGTGCATAATTTCCTGAGCAATTTTGCGAAATTCTGCTGGAATCATGTTAATTAATTAGTAGGTAGATACAACACGTGGAATGCTAAGCAATCGAACATCAACCGCCTCCAGTGAACATTTTCGTGGCACTTCCGCTTAGACCAGCGGAAGCTCTACTTTCTTGCGCGGTCAACGACGCGTGTGCCACTCGTGGACACAATAGAACTATTATTTGAACAGTTAGGTAGTCTCACTTTATGAGAATTTCGTATAGAATTCGAGGGAAATTCATCTGTTTCAGTTCCTGGATAGGCGCCGATGGAATTAAGTTCGACGAATTTGAATAATCGAAATTGCACCAAAAATCGACGAGGTCTTTTAACAACTTCACGTGGAATTCTGGAACAGTAACTCGCGTGACGGAAGATGTTTAGCCGTGATTATGATTCTCAAGTTGCTTCGTTTCTGGATCGGAGATCCGTTGGGTGTTCCGCGGTCGAGTGGCGACGATCTCGATCGGCGTGCACCATAACGAAATCTTTTCTTCGGCAGAATTTCTGGATCACAAGGATTTTTGGAATACCTGCGATCTCACGACCTCCACTCGTTATCCTT